ATAAAAATATCCTTACCAGCTTTTTCTACATCATGAATCCACTAATAATATATCTATGAGATCCTGTACAACATTCATCGAATATATTCCACAAGTTTGTCGGTATTTTTTTAATAACACCCATTACGGTTTTCGGTGATGTAACTGATTTTGCTCTGCGTTTTTTAGCTCATAATTCTTTACAAATTTTATACTATGTTTCTCCAACATTTGATCGAAATGCAGTATTTTCATTATAATATTTAAATATGAGATGTATTTTAATTAAAATATTTTTATAATTTTCTAAATATTCAATATCTGATAATGATTATTTAATAGACCAAATAACTCATCAGTACCTTCATATTTCTCTCTTGTATAACAATATCATTGTTATCAAACTGCGCTCTCGTATCACCAATATATTTGTATTGTCTTAAGGCCTTATACGAAATGAAGTATTATTAGCATTATTAAGATACTCAGCTAATTTCGGCCGTAAATGTGTAATAATTTCCATTTTTTCTTTTCTCTATCTATTTTTCAATCGTCTTTCTAAGCATAACCTTCTTGAAGTATCTACTATTTTGTATAATTGCATTTCAAACGACGATTCTGATAGTGTTGATGGCATTGGAAGTAAATAATCATAATGAAATCCATGTTTTTTAGGTACAAAATGTTTTTCGACATGTTCGTGGTCAGTAGATTGAATACCTTGTTTACCAACATGGTATACTTTACCAACTAAATCATATAATTTATCCATAACAGGTTGATTTACTTTTTTATATTTGTCAAATTCATTAAGCTCATTTCTTCATTCTCGCAATGTATCGTTTATATTTTTCTTCTCTTATTTGGTTTGGTTTATAATTTGTAAATATTTTAAGAAGAACAGATATACTGCTCTACATCTAGACAGGATTTTATATCTGTATTTAATATTTTGTAGTTAGGCAGACAAGTTTTTATATTGCGTCTGTTGTAGCTGTCTGTTTAGCTGCCCGCCTGTTTGTATGATTGTATTTAATTTCTACATTACCATCATTTGATTTATATGTCATGTCAATGGTAATCAGAACCAAATTGTTCATCCCACCATTATGGACATACATTTTTTAATTCATCAAATTTCATTTCACCACTTGTAAATTCATGATAAATATGGTTCCGATTAAGATCATCTCGGCGCGAGTCAGATCGTATATTTAAAAAATTAAATTATCTCTAATCTGTTGTTCAGGGATTTTTAATGTATTTTTGCTCAATATTAGCAATCCATGCCTTTGTATACCAGATGTAAAATATTCTCTTACAATATTTTGTTTCTCTAATATGAATTCATCTAATAATACTGATGACTTATAAATGTAATAATTTTATTTTCAAGCTTATTACACTTCATAAGTTCTTGATATTTAACTAGTTCAAAAGATTTTGAATATAGATTTACATAATAAATTTAATCCAGTTTTACTTTTTGACAAACCGTGATCCAGACTCGCTCCTCTCCATCAGGGAAGTCCCACAGTAACGTGATGTGTGACCAACCATTTCTTTCCAAATTGGTCTTTCACCTTATGTTTATATATAAAATATATGATGTACGTGCAAACTTACATTTTTGCAACATTTATCACCAAATTATTTGAGTGTTTTTTGTGTTATTTAGTAGTTTGTACCGCGCTATTAGACGGATGCAGCGCAAGAGTTTATCTGGCAATATTGTCTTTCTCATATTTTCGTTAATTCATTGTGGTGCGCTACACACAATTCAGTCAAAAATGCTTCGTTTCTCGTTAAATGTAGCTGCTTATTCCAATAGTTGGGAAGGTGAGTCAAGGATTTATATTTGATAATCTCAACTTACGGAGATTCTCATAGTGATACATTGGTTCCGAAAATTGAACCGTATGATCTACCAGATTACCCCTCTCTTTCGTTGATCTGGATGGTTGGATAAATAATTGAAATCCAAGCCCATATGCGTAGATTTCTAAAAACATTTCCATTTTGTTTCACATTTTCTCTCTTGGTATATCAAAAAACAGGTGCCTTGCAAATGTTTTACTGCTTACTGTATTTTATTCTGCTATTTATTAACATAATACAACACTATAAAGTTAATCTTTATGAACAATGAGAACAGTATCGTATATAGGATATAACACAATATGATGGTTTTTAAAATTGTTTTTCTCTATTTTTCTATTACAATTTCAGCAAAAGTTCTCAATGAAACACCGACAAGCATGCCTTCAATATGACGATAAAATTTGTCATTGCATAAGATGCACATATTATTTAAAACGCATGTAGTGATGATAAAGAATCACCTCTGTAGCAATGTGTAAAGTTAAACAGTGATCATTTAAATATTTTTCACGACCTAGTAATATCCATTTTGTGAGGTATAGAAGAGATTCTATTTTCTATTCTATTTTCTTCTATCACAAGTCGCCAAAACATGAATTTCTGGCATACGCACTTTTTTAAGGGTGTAAAACAAATCTTCTAGTGTACGTAAGGTTGATGGTACTAGACGCAGAGTCAAAATAAGTTGTTTTTTATTAAACCGTAAGCTCTGGTCGCCAAAAAAATTGTAGGATAGATTTTAAAATATACACTATCATCAATGAATTTGTTATTCTTCCAATGGTTATGTTTTATAACGAATTATTTTTTAAGTTATTTGTATGATATTTGCAGAATATTGATTAGAAGATTAACATATCAAATCTAAGACAAAACATAATGTGTACTACATTAATAAAATACTACCATAATGTATATAAGATGTATCCTATATGATTCAGGAGGTTATATATATATATATATAT